TTTTTTTTTTTTTTTTGAGATGAGGTCTCACTATGTTGCCCAGGCTGGTCTTGAACTCACGGGCTCAAATGATCCTCCTCTCCCACCTCCCAAGTATCTAAAACTACAGGTGTGCATGCCACCATACCTGACTTATATGCTTATTTTATAAGTCCTAACTTGTTTAATTTTCTTTCAGTACATATTCATAAAGAAGGTAATAATATAAAAATTTTACAAATAAAGAAATGAGCTGAAAGACTGAGCAACTTGCGTCAAATCACAGTTACCAAGTGCCAGAGCTATGAGCCGAAGTCAGCTCATCTGCTCCAAAGTAACAAAATCGGTTCTGCAGGGAGGTGTAAAACCCTCACACTCCTGTCTCCAGGGAAAGGCAGAAATGCAGATACACAAGAGGCAGAAAACAAATGCTTTCAAAAGAAGAGCATCTTCAGCTGTCCATCTGTCTTATATTTGAAAAGTGACAAATACCTTTCACAACACAGTGTCCAAGTCTCTGTTGAAGAGAGTGGTATTTTTCTCTTAAAGGAACCCGTATGTCCTCAGGATTGGGAAATGCTGTCACAAAAATTTCTGCTACCTTCAGAAAAAGAAAAATTTTTAAGTATTATGAGCAATATCATTTCCTTTATATCCTTTCATTCCTTAAACATTTTAACTCAAAATATAAATGCATACTTATTACTAATCTTTTGATGTAGATTCAAATATCTCTTTGAGTATGAACCTGCTGATTGGAGAGCTTTGGCATCAATTTTCTTTTTTTAAGCTTTAAAGTATTTAATTGACAAAAATTGTATATATTCATGATGCACAATGTGGTTATTTGATATACATATGTACTGGGTACTGATTATAACACCAAATTAACATATCCCTCACTGCACACAGTCACCACTGTGTAGGAGCTATGATGAGGACACTTAAAATCTCCTCCCTCATGAAATTTCAAGTAAAAAATACAGTATTAAACTTGAGATCCTCCTGCCTCAGCCTTCCTAGTGCTAGGATTATAGGCATGTGTTACCACACCTGGCTCTTAATTAATTTTATAAATAAAAGTTTGGAAACTTTCTCCAAGAGTTCCCCATTTCCACCAAACTCCCAAGCTTGCAACCACAATTCTATTCTTTGCATCTATGAACTTGATTTGTTTAGGTTCCACACATAAGTGAAATCATACAATATTTATCTTTCTGAACCTAGAAGATACTATACAAAGTGAAACAAGTCAGACACAAAAAGGCATGTTGCCTCTTAATTAAAATAAAAATTATTGAAAATCTGATTGAGATTTAGTTTATTTTCCCCTATAACCTTATTACCTTTCTGATTGGTGGTAGTCCTTCAATAAGACTCAAAATTATATCTTGAATAAGTTCTTCAATATTAAAAAACCGAGAGAAAGGTAACATTCGATAGGCCCATTCCACTGCACTGAGACAGTGCTCAACCATACAAGAATCAAATTCCACTTCAAGGCCCTAAATGGATATTGAAAAGATTCATTTCTTTTTCAGTTTAGATTAACAGACCAGAACAAGCTCAAAAACAAATTTTGCTACAAGCAGTAAAATCTTCTATTAAGCAATAATTTCCCAAGTAATGTCTATCTACTTTTCTCATCCTGTGCTAGTAAATACCTTCTCTCCCTTCGCATTTTCTCTTGCTTTCTGATACTGTCTGCAAGTGTAGGATAACTTATCACGGACATGCAGCATCCAGCACAAAGCACAAAGTTCTCGGAAGCACCCTAAGCAGGGATACAAATATGAAAGAAAGAGCATAAACATTAATGTTATCCTAACTCCACTCTGCTGGCTATTTTAATTCAGAATATATGTCTTTGCTTTATTGTTTATATATATCTTACATGAAAGTCAAAGAGACAGTTCCACAATTTTAATGCACATTATTCTAGAATATTTCATGCATATCAGTTGCATGGAAATGCTGACAACATATTTATAAAGTAATTACTCTATCAGTTGACTTACTTTATAACTTCATAGTATATACCTAGCTTTATATTATATAATTCATTCAGAATATGACTTATTTTTTGGCAGTGCTGAAAATTGAACCCAGTGCCTTGTATACGCTATGCAAGTGCTCTACCAGCCCTGAAAAACACTTATTGATATATACTTATGCTAATATTAAAAACAACTTCTAACATTAATGTTGTATTAAAAGTAAAACATGGAGCCAGGCACACCTGCTATCTTAGCTACCTGGGAGGCAGAGATGGAGATACTGTCGTTTGAGACAATCCTGGGCAAAAAGTTAGTGAAAACCCTATCTCAGTGGAAAAAGCTGTGCACACTGGCTCATGCCTGTCATCCCAGGTGCTTTGGGAAGCATAAAACAGAAGGATCACCATCTAGGGAAAAAAACAAGACCCTATCCCAGAATAAACCAGAGCAAAAAGGGCTGGAGGCATGGCTCAAGCAGTAGAGCACATGCCTAGCAAGCACAAAGCCGTGAGTTCAAACCTCAGTTATCACCAAAAAAAAAAAAAGGTTTATTAACATAAAACAATTAATCTTTTTACCCATCAAATTAATCCAAAGGGATTATAAGATATACAGTAGGCATATGTATTAACTCAAAAATTCCACATTTGAAAATCTACCAAAGGGAATATTTCAAAATACAAAACAGAAACTGATGTGCCAGAAGCAACTTAAAGTTATAACAACTGATGTAAATTTTAATATTTGCCAATAAAAGCCATTAAAATCAATAGATATTAAAGTTTACAAAATGGAAAGGCTTAGGTGGGATGTGTTAAATTAAGTCTATACTGAAAGTCTAAGAGCCTGCCCACTTAACAGTGTTGGGTAGCAACATTCAGTGCAAGAGAATGACCACTAGAAAGGCATTATTGAGTGCTAAACTCCAAATGTAAATGATGAATCAATGATTCTTAATTCAATACCGCACATACAGTACATGTAAATACATGGCTATTAAAATAAGGTACTTGTTTGTGAATATAAGGCAAAAAATCATACAACATACTGGACTTTAAGGAGTAAATAGTTCAGCAATTTTCCAAATCAAATGAAAAATGTATCATTCATACGTAAGCTAATTTCTAAGCAAACAGGTCATTTCTGACAAACCTATTGCTCTAATGGAAACTTCATCAAGCTTGTGGTCCCCAGCTGCTCCAGGTCTAAAGAATGCCACACCTCCTTTACAGTAATTAAGTAAGGAATCAGGGAAAGGACTCAATAAAGGAAGTGACCCTTTCAATCGAATCTGAAAAGGAAAGAATGATAGAATGTTAATTATCCCTACTAAAAAGAATTTTTAAAGGAAACTATAAAAGAAAAGGGCAATTAAGATGAACCATACAGAATGGAAAACACAGTATGGCTCCCCAGCATGGAAAGGAAAACAGACTTGAAGCAGTTGCACCTTCTGAAACTTAGCTCACAAATCTAACTCAAGAAATTCACTAGATTGTATCTCAAAAGATTAAAAAGGTTCTAACTAAATCATTTATACTCGCTCATCACTCAGTTTTGCCTATGTTTGTCTGACTTTCCCTATAGTCATAAGAAAGAAAATAAAGAAATCTCAGTATCTAAATCTCATCTGAAATAAACCATATAGAACCTATCTACATATGTAGCTTTTTAAAAACTAATTTATAAATGACGAAGTAGAAAGCCATCATTTGGTAACTTCTTTAAAAAATGGCACTAGACAAAGATTATCAATAAATGCTAAATTAGATAAAAAGTTAGTAGGTTTTCAGGGAACTTGATATAGGGTATGACACAACCCAAATTACTGATCAAACTTTCCATCACTAAAAGTGAAATAAACAGACATAGGTGCCTCCTGAAATGGTGCAAGGTGAAGCAAACAACACTTATGAAGGTTACTGCTATGAAAGCCTGAGCTTAAATATAATCAAGCCTCTCTACCTCAGGAAGGAGATGGATATCAGTTCACAGGAAATTTAAGGAAAGAGGAACAGTTAAGTGACACTAAATGAAGAAATGATTGGACAAATCTACAATCTGGTACAGGACAAACTACCCAAATGTCTAACAAATCAAGAATTAAAAAGGAAAAAAGAGGGAGGCTGTTAGAGGTAAAAGAAAAAGAAAGCAATGATTGGCAGTAGGCTTTCAGTCTATTTTTCCGCTACTCGTCACTCCCAGAAAGACATGATACGACCCCTTGTAAGCTCTGGTTAAACACATTAAGGGCATTTATTAACAGGATGGCACCAATAGGCAGCACTAGCAAGGCAACTGAGAGCTTCAGTCCTGCAGCACGTGGATCTGAATTCTGACAACACCCTCTTGAAAGAGCCTGGAAATGGATTTTTCCCTAGACTCCCTAAAGGACACACAGCCCTGCAGTTACTCTAAATGGTCTTAGGAGACTCTAAGCCAGTCCCTGACAAGCTATGCTATGACCTGTGATGCACAGAAACAGTAAGATAATAAGTGGCAGGCCATGCATGTGGTACCTCTAAGCAGTCAGGAGGCTGGGAAAGGAGGACTGATAGTTTCCAATCAGTTTGAGCTACATAGCAAGATCATGTCTCAAAAAATTGATTAATTAGGCCCTTCTCTCCAGTCCCTCACAACCACTAATCTACTTTCTAGCTCCACAGTAATGACAAGACAGTTTTAGCTTGTATTTTTGTGGAAACTGTATATAAATTTTACAAACTTCTTTCTCTTTAAAAAAGGCTAATTTCTGGCTAGGCATGGCAGTGTCTATAATTCCAGCACTCAGGAGGCTGAGGTAGGAAGACTGCAAGTTTGAGCCCAATCTATGGTACATAGTAAGACCTTCTCGAAAAACAAAACAAAAGGTTAATCTTCAAAAATACTGATGAGAAAGGATTTCAACTATCGGCTAAGGAGACTTGTCTCAATGATGCACTGGCTGGAAAGCAGGTAAGAATGTAGGCAGTCATAGCTCAGCAGCAGTCAGGTTGTTAGTGGACAGCCCAGAATCACAATAAATGTGTATCTCAGAGGAAAGCAGGCAGAGCCCTGACAAGAGTCAGCCAAGAACTGACTCTAACTCTCCGTGCTCTGAACAGAGACCACACCCCAGGGAAAAGTGCTCTCAATGACGTCCATTTCCCATGAATTGGCTGAGTAGGTAATATTTCCTGCTTCCAGTCAGGGTGGAACTAACCTGCACACCTGCCAGGTCACAGTCCTTATCTCTCAGCCAAAAGAACCTGCTCTACCTAGATCACTTACTGTAAACAGGCCTGAGATTTGTGGATTCCTAAGGCAGGACTCCTTGGAAAAGCGTTTTCATAGTATAAGTGTTAGTATATTTCAGTTGCCAAACACCATACATGGATGACTAAGATACTTTCCTACCTTCTGCATGACTTTTCTTGTCCACCTCAACTGTAAGATGTACCACTGTGCTGCAGGAAAAGAACACCGAGCTGCCCGGAAAAGCAAGAGAACACGCTGAAGGATTCCAGACACCATTTGGCGATTATCTTTTTCAGCTTTTAAAAGAAGATCATCTCCATGTTCCTGAGGACAACAGAACAATCATCTATCAATAAAACTCTAATAAAAATATTATCTGCACTTTACAGATGGGGAAATTTAAATAGCAGTTCAGTATGCTACCTAAGATTATACAATTAGTAAGCAGCCACACTGGGAAACCAGCAGTTTGTCTTCAAAGCTTGCATTTTAACATGATAATCACTATCAGGTTGATTATTTCTTAAACTGGACAAAGTCAACTTTAAATTAATTAAAAGAATAAGGTACTGTGCTTACTTCACTTAGAATAGCTGGCTGGGGACAATACAGTGGAGGAGCTGGAAGATACAGGCTGTCGGGCACTAAGCCCCACAGTCTCTTAACAAAGTCCTTGGCAGAGTCCATCAGAAGTTGAAGCGTCTCTGAAAGAATATCTGCATCAGCCATGACTGCAGCTTTCAGCACTTCTTGCACTGATCCAAAGAGCAGGTTAGCATCTTCCTCTTCGATAGAATCTATCAAACACAAATTTGGTGGCACACAGCTGTAATTCCAGCACAATCCCAGCACTTAGGAAGCCAAGACAAGAAGGATCCTAAATTCCAGGCCAACCTGGGTTACATAGCAAGACCCTGCCATCTCCCCAGAATAATAATAATCAATAGTATACAGGTATTTATGGCTGGGTGTCAGTGGCTCATGCCTATAATCCAAGCTACTTGGGAGGCTGAGATCAGGAGGTTCTCAGTTTAAGGCCAATGCAAATAGTTCAAGAGACCCCCCCCCATCTCCAAAATAAACAGAGAAAAATGAACTGGAAGTGTGGCTCAAGGGATAGGGTGTCTGCTTTGCAAGTGAGAAGCCCTGAGTTCAAACCTGAACCCACCGATAGACAAAATAGATAAACAGATAGATAAGATAGATAGGTAAAGGTATGTATGGAAATCAGAAATCAGTACATAGCTTATTTTAAAGTTTTAATACTATTTATAGATATTCATAAGTTTTTTATACCACAAGGTTTGTATTAACCTGATATACATTCAGATCTCATGAAGGTAACACACCTGAAAACTGGTTATATTTTGAGCCCACATCATTTCTTCCTTCTGGAGAGGCTGGCTGACCTAAAAAACACTGCAGTTTTTCCTGGAAAATCTGTGCTGGGGTCATATTTAATGGTATAGTCACTCTCCTCTTCCTAGACCTGAAATAACATTAAGGGAAATGAAGCCAAGTTTTGAAGCAAAGGAAAAATTTCACACATCAAGAACTAAACATGAACGTTTAAGAAACTCTGGAATTCACTTGCTTCCTACACCCTGCATACAAAAAGGCAACACTTTGTTACGGCCATCCCTTATTTCCTGCTCCACCCCAAGTGGAACCAAAACTTGGTTTTGCAAATGCCTTTGTTCATGCTCATATGCTCTCTGTAACCACACATCTGCCAAGATCCTGCCTACCCTTCAATGCCCATCTCAAACAACTCCCCTACATTGTCTCCTGATTTCCCCACCTGGTATTATTCTCCCCATTGCACAACTGGCACTTTTCTTACCACACTATAACTATAATTTTATGATTAAGTTTTGTCCTTATTTTCTCTATTAAAGCAAAAGGGCCTTAATAAGTTTGTATCTACTAAATACCTGACACTGAGCTTTGTACAGAGCAGTAATTTAATAAATAAATGTACGTGGAATCATTGACTGAAAAATAAATGTAAAATACAGCAATGCCATAATATTCAGAAAAATTAAAAGACCATAGATTAATTAGCATAAAACTCAAATTCTGGCTAGGTGAAATGGCACACACTTAGGACACCCAGAAGAGTGAATTCAGGGCCTGTCTGGACTACATAGCAAGACCCTGTCTTAAAAAAAACAAAAACAGAAACCCAACAACAACAACAACAACAACAAAAAAACCCAAAGCAAAACAAATGGGGCACAAGTATCTCACGCCTATAATTCTACCTACTTGGAAGGCAGAAATTGGAAGGATCATGGTTCAAGGACACCGCAGGCAAACAGTTCATTAGACTCCCATCTCCAAATTAACCAGAGCAAAATGGACTTGGATTTGCAACTTGAGGGCCTGCTTTGCAAGTACAAAACCCTAAGTTCAAACCCCAGTTGCACAAGAACAAAACAAAACAAAAACCCTCTAATCCGATTTGGAATAAACTCTTCCATTGACTAAATAACTTTGACTAAATCAACTTTTCAACACCAACAAGTAACCCACTGAGGTACTGTACATGTACAGCACAGTGATAGCATGTGGCTATTTAAGTTTAATTAAAGTTAAATTGAAAATTCAACTTTTGGTCTCATAGTCACATTTCAAAAGCTCAGGTGTGAGGCCCTGAGTTCAAACCCCAGTGCCACAAAAAAAAAGGGTGGGGGAAAAGGGTTAGTAGAGTGGCTCAAGTGTGGAGTACATGCCTAGCAAGTGTGACATCTTGAGTTTCAACCCCAGTGCTGCCAAAAAAAAAAAAAAAGGATCAAATGCTCGGTAGTAGTTTATGGCTAGTGGCTACCACACAGAACAGAACAGTAAACAGAGTTCCATGGGACAATGCTGAACTAAGAATTCACATATAAATACCAAGAATGAGAGATGATACTGTTACACTGTATCTTAAACATGCTAAAAATACCTACCTCCTGGAACTTCTATCACCTTTACAGAACAGTTGGAAGGCCAACCCAATCGAAAGGGATGTCTTCCAGTCTCCAAGTTTGTGTGCCATCCACACGGCCTCTGGGATCAGCCCACCAATAAGTAATAACTCAAGGGCATATTCAACGGTCCACACATTTGAGAGATTTTGATTTCTAACCACACTGGCCACCTTAGAGTGCTGCAGAGGAATGAGTCGAAGGGATTGCTCTGTGAGTGAATTTAAAAAAATGGGTATAATGATTACATACATATATCTAAACTCATGACTCCTTATACAGTATACTTATCTCTTCGACTGGTATTTTCTACACAAAGCCATAAGGAAGATACACACAAAATGGGCAAAAAAATTACTAATTATACTCTGGAATAGTTTTTGCTAACACTGAAAAATGTTCCTCATTAGTGGGTCATGAAAAAAAATGTCAGCATTCTTAAAAAATGAAACAAAACAAAGAAGTAACAAATAGAATGAGTGCACTACACAAAATAAAAGTAAGTAATAATGGCTGGGCATGGTGGCTCACACCTATAATCTCAGCTACTGAGGTGCTGGAGATTGGAAAGAACATAGTTCAAGGACAGCCAGTTAGCAAGCACCCATCTCAACACAAGCTGGGTGTGGTGGCGCACTCCTGCAATCCCAGTTACATAGGCAGCATAATGGAGAATAGTGGTCCTAGATCAGCTCCAGGTAAAAAAGCAAGACCTTATATGTTAAATAAATAAAAGCTTGCTTTGCAAGCACAAAGCCCTGAGTTTAAACCCCAGTCCCCCAACAAAAAAAGTTCAAGGTCTAGGGGCACAGCTCAAGTGGTAGAGCACCTGCCTAGCAAGTGCAAGGTTGACTTCAAAACCCAGTACGGCTAGGAAAAAAAAAAAAGTTCACCTCCTCAGAGAGCTTGTCTGTCTCAAACATTATATATAAACCCCAGAAAAGAACAGGTTCACGGCAGTTTTGATATATTTGTTTAGTGAATATTTAAAAAAAACAACAAGACTTTTCATTGAATTTTTTTTTGGTGGTACTGGGATTTGAACTCAGGGCCTCAGGCTTGCTAGGCAGGTGCTCTACCACTTGAGCGACTCCGCCAGCCCAAGACTGTTTTCATACAAGCAATTTCATGTGGTGGAAGCTAACATGCAGTCATACACCACAGAACTACACTTGGTCAATAGCACACACACATGTGATTATTCTATTGCCAGAAATGTCAGAGCCACTTCAGTTTGTGAAAATACACTCCCTGGTAATCACTCAACCACAAAATCACCTAAGGTCGCATCTCTCAGAATGTGTCCCCATTGTTTTGTGACACACTGACTACATTTACAGCAGCAGAACACTTCCCAGCACACAGTAGGGACTTAATAAAAATGAGTACACAAGGATTACATGATCTTGCTCACATGTGGAGTCTAATAAAGCTGACAGCATGGAAGTGAGGAGAAGAATGATGGTTACCAGGACAGGAAGCAGTGGGGAAGAGGGAATGAGAGCTATTGATTAAGGGTACAAGTGTCACATAAGCAGGAAGAACAAGTTTTAGAACTACTACACAGCAGTGTGACTATAAGCAGTAACAATATATTTATATTTCAAAATAACAAGAGCAAATTTCAAATGTATCAATACAGAAAATGTAGGTGAGCAAGGTGACAGATGCAACCTAGCTTGATTTCATCATGCCACACTACAAAGTAATTCCCCCTTACCTGTGGATTTATTACATGTGGTTATGACCAAGTGTGGTCAAAAAAGAGTAATAAAAAGTAAAATTCAAAAGAAATTTCAAAAACAAAAATTTTAATTCTTGCACACACACTATGCAGCTCTGTCAATCCCACAGTATCATCAGTTGTATTTAAACTGTTGTGTGATCTGCTGGGTGTTTCCCTGTGAATTTTGTGAAAATAAACTTCCCAAAAAGCAAATGTTGCCCCCAAAGCAAGGCAAAAGTTAATGTGCTTAACTTAAGCGACACAGTGAAAACTTTAAAGTTTGTTGGAAGGCATGTCTTTGGTGGAAGCTGGTCGGCATTATGGAAAGCAAATCAAGCAGCAACACAGAGCGCTAAACTCTATGCATCCAATTTGCAGTTCCTCCCTAATGGTTCCACACGGCACCAAGGGCCCACTGTTCACAGTTACAAAAACACCACTGGCGCCCCATAACTGTACACAATTATGACTTGACAATCAAAAAATATTTACTAATTCCAGGAATGCAGGGGTGGTTCAACATATGAAAATCAATAAACGTAATAAACCACATTAACAGAAGCAAAGACAAAACTATGAGATCATCTCAATAATTGCAGAAAAAGTCTTTGATAAGATCCAACACCACTTCATGATAAAAGCTCTAAGAAAACCAGGAATAGAAGGAAAGTACCTCAACATTATAAAAGCTATATATGACAAACCTACAGCCAGCATTATACTT